ATAATTTTGATTGTTTTCATATTATTGTTGCTTGTCTGTGAATTGCTTTTTAAACATCCTGTGAATTATGTGTGCGTGGTGACTTAGAAAAATAGGCTTTAAATGGCATCTTTGATCTCAAGCATTTATTTTATCTCTGTAACAAATAAAACTAAATGGAACTGGTGGCTCAACCAAGTTCTCTCTTTCATCTGTATTGCAGCTGCTGCCTACATCTAGGATGACATCTGAGCCTGTCTCTCTCAGTTTACCACCCACATCTCCAGAAATTGTAACGGGCTGTGAATTCTAGACTTTTCAGCTCATCTGAAAATTAAATCTTCACATTACTGAAACTTCCAGTCATTGTTGTGTTGTTTGTAACCTTTCCATTCTTCAAATTAACCCATCATATAAGTAGCAATTTTAAATATTGGAAAGATAACACCTAGTCATCCATCTGCTTCAATATGTTAGAAGCCCAAATACTATCTCAATGATGAGAGGTTTTTTCAAGATTGACATTACAAACACAGACTTGTTGCTTATTAATTCAGTCGCTTCCAAGTCCTCGTGACCTCCTGGACCAGCCCATGCCAGAGCTCCCTGTCAGCCGTCACCACCCCCAACTCCTTCAGAGTCAAGCCATGTCACTTCAAGGATACCATTCATCTTGCCCTTGGTCTGCCCCTCTTTCTTTTCCCTTCCATTTTCCCCCAGCATCATTGTCTTCTCTAAGCTTTCCTGTCTTCTCATTATGTGGACAAAGTACTTCATCTTTGCCTCTAATATCCTTCCCTCCAATGAGTGGTCGGGCATTTTTCCTGAAGTATGGACTGGTTGGATCTTCTCACGGTCCAAGGCACTCTCAGAATTTTCCTCCAGCACCACAGTTTAAAAGTATCTATCTTCCTTCGCTCACCCTTCCTTATGGTCCAGCTGTCACATCCATAGGTTACTACGGGGAATACCATTGCTTTAACTATGCGTATCTTAGTTGCCAGTGTGATGTCTCTACTTTTCACTATTTTATCTAGATTGGGCATTGCTCTCATCCCAAATACAGACTACACCAAAGCAAGACCTGGGCATACCAAGGATTTGCCTGTTCCTAGTAAGTCAATAAGATACAGTAGAGTCTCACTCATCCAACATAAACGGGTCAGCAGAACGTTGGATAAGTGAAAATGTTGGACAATAAGGAGGAATTAAGGAAAAGCCTATTAAATGTCAAATTATGTTATGATTTTACAAATTAAGCACCAAAACATGTTTTACAACAAATCAACAGAAAAAGCAGTTCAACACTCGACAACAGTCACGGCATTAGGAAGGTTGAGAACCACTCCTCTGGAGGAATAGTCAAATAATGCTTTATAACCATAACAGATTCAAAGCAAGGCAAACTATCATACTATCACACCAATCTACTTTGTATTATAAGGGAGTGCCTTAGCACTGCTAAATTATGTTTTCAGATAAATCCCTTTTACTAAAGCAGTGCATACAAGTCTTTTACAACAGAGGACGAGGTGAAAACACTGTCCATAGGTGGGACATGAGATGGCTTAGCTAGTTAGCATTTGAAATTTGATGAGCAAAGAGGCAACAGTATATGACAGTTATGTTATACAAATCCATACGCTTAATCAGGTAGTTGCCAAATATGATATGTCATCTAATGGGATGCAAATAAAGATCATAATTAGGTTTAGTATCTGATCTGTCAATAACTTTGAGAACCTTCTAAGCAAATACTGTACTTTGCATAGACAGAATGACAGATTGCTGTGCAATGTTTATTAATGAAATGATTGCGAGCAAACCTGACAATTTCATTAAATACAAATCAAGAAAAAATCCTGACAATTACATTTAGGTAACATTTCAAACACTTTACGTTTGGGACTGATTGGCAAACTTTAAAGCATTGTATCCATTCTGCATGGAACTTAATGCAAAATATATATTTTTTGGTCACAGATGTTACCTGTCAAACTTGTCTTCCATTCAAATCGTAAGCAAATCACGTACAACAAGCTAGATAATACTGAAATAAAATCTTAGTAATATTTTATATCTATGTTGCTTAACATATTCTACTTTCATGGCAGCCCATGGCAGCCCATGGAAAGGGCTCCCTTAGGTCTTCTTATTCAAGGTCTTAGTTTATAGAGTGACCTGCCATGCAACCCAACCACACCAATGTAAGGGGATAGGTTGCAATCATACAGTGCTGACAAACTGTAATGTAAGAGAGTACATAATCTAAAGAGAGGGAAACAAGAAAGAACATAACTTTACTTCTGGGAGAGGGTCAGACTTTATCAAACTTTATTTTTGTAGGCTTTACTTTTATAGAATGTTTTGGATTGAAACAAAATACAGGCCAAGCAATAGTACCTAAATAAGAGCATTGAAGAGAACAAAGAATCGCTCTCTTTTGAACCTGACCTTGCGGAAAGGCCACAGCTTAGTTGCAGATATTTTTTAGCATGCAGAGCTACCAGATTTAATCTGCAGCAACTCTATTTAAAGATCTACGGACAGAAAAACTAAAAGACTTCACAGGCCTAACAAACCATGGCCTTGCTATAATTCTATGCTGTATCCCTCGAATTGTAATGTCCAATATTATTGAAAAATTCAGCGAGGGAAAAGGCAAATATATTGCTGAAAAATTCAAATCTTAACTTTAAAAGAAAGATTTTACAGATTAAAACTAGTACAAATAACCTGTACACTCATGTTTGTCAGTAACTTTCAGATCTGAGACCAAATAAAACTATCCAATGGATGTCAACAAGACTATAGCTTTTCCACTTCGAATATTGGGCTCTAAGAAAGAAAGCATTATGAGTACCTCTGTAATTTTAAATCAAGTGTAGGCCTGTCAGGGAGTTTGGTCTTCCATGTAACTGAACCTTTGAAGAATCATTTATAGCTTAGTTAATAATTATAGTTATTTTAATTTTCTCTCCCTGGTCATTTCTCACTCACCCATCCAAATTCCTCCACACAAACTGAAAAATAAAATTATCAGGCTTGTATAATGCAGACGAATAGGTGGTTCTTCATGTGCTCATTGGTGCAAAGTAACAGAAGCTCCCACAGAAAGTGTTCAAACTGGACTTTCATCTCCTTACATGTTAAAGCTACTCTTTACTTCCACAGTCTATTATGGTATTAATGCTATATCTGCAAAAGAGTGGGGAGGGAAGGTTATGAGGATGAACAGATGACCACTTAAAAAGACTAGGTACAGGTAAGGAACTTGTTCTTCTCATATATTCCATTCCTCAAACAAATAGGTTGAAAGAAAGCTTAAGTTATGATAGTGGGCATGTCGAACAATGGTTGATGACAATATTGTCCCTTTTTTAACTTAGGCGATCCCTCGTTGTCTGAGTATGATCGCCTTCCAAGTGTAGTATCTTGGCGCTGGATACGTAGGTGACTGTGGAGCCCTATTCTTGATCTGCATGTTTGTCTGCAGTGAGGGCATAGGTTTCCAGATGGAAGGTGGTTCCGATCAGGGTTGGCTTGACGCGCCTTCCTCTTGGCATTGTCCCACAATGGGTGGATTCAAATAATGCTTCAGAGAAGTTGATGGCTGCTGCCATGTGGCTGTTTTCCATAAACCAGGCAACCACACTGAAACTCCTGTTGTCTTTACTACTTTTTACTAAACAATATGCCAGTTTGCTAGTTTCCACAAACCATTGGATAAAACATTGTGAAGATACTTCCAAGCCCTTCTTCTTCCCACCACTCAAAAGAAACTGGAATTCACAACATTATTTCAAATTACAGTCATATGGATCTCCTTCTGGATGTTTCCAACATTTGTGTAGAATGATTGAATCCTCCAAGTTATCTGACATAGAGAATGTTTGTCTGCCCTTGCCTTGCAGAAAATTGTAAATGAACAAAGTATATTAGGGAAAGATTAAAGGAGGTCCTCTGTATCTTGTTTTCCTTGATCCTTTGTTATTTAGGATTGTATAGCTGGCACTTCCTCTACTGGTTGAGTCTCAGTACCAATAGGATCGTAGTTAGTGAGCACCTCTAGAGTTGCCAAGTCACTGATGTTACAGCTAAGCAACAACATACTGTAAAAAACACAAAAAAAAAGTAGCTTCTCTGACTGTACAAGATCCTTTAAAGCAGTGTAACTACAGAACCAAGATTATGGCAACAAGATGATTGACAACTGGAAAATAGAGGGAAAAAATGTGGAGGCCGTGACAGACTTTGTATTTCTAGGTGCAAAGATTACTGCAGATGCATACTGTGGCCAGGAAATCAGAAGACGCTTACTTCTTGGGAGGAGAGCAATCTTGATAAAATAGTGAAGAGTAGAGACATCACACTGGCAACAAAGATCCGCATAGTCTAAGCAATGGTATTCCCTGTAGTATCCTACGGATGTGAGAGCTGGACCTTAGGGAAGGATGAGCGAAGGAAGATCGATGCTTTTGTGCTGTGGTGCTGGAGGAAAGTTCTGAGAGTGCCTTGGACTGCGAGAAGATCCAACCAGTCCATCCTCCAGGAAATAAAGCCCGACTGCTCATTGGAGGGAAGGATAGTAGAGACAAAGTTGAAGTACTTTGGCCACATCATGAGAAGACAGGAAAGCTTAGAGAAGACAATTATGCTGGGGAAAATGGAAGGAAAAAGGAAGAGGGGCCGACCAAGGGCAAGATGGATGGATGGCATCCTTGAAGTGACTGGGTTGGTGACGGCCGACAGGGAGCTCTGGCGTGGGCTGGTCCATGAGGTCACGAAGAGTCGGAGACGACTGAACGAATGAACAACAACAACAACTGGCTGCCTTTCATTTTCCGGTCCCAATTCAAGGTGCAGGTCAGAACAAATACATCTGTACTTCAAAAACATTCTTGTGGATGAGCCTTACCATTTTAAAAAAATCTTCTCCCTTTTGACATGGCATAACAATTTAATATCCAATTTCTAAAAATTATTTGATCACTTTAAATTAATAAAGGTCTACTCCAAAGGAAATTTCACAGTGTTCCTTTTAATGTGTTGTATTTCCATTTATGTCATATTTTTACAAAATACATTAACAATGCATTTCACATCAAGCAACACAATCCAAAGCTACAATCCAAAGAGCAACTTAACAATTTATTCATTGTACAAATTAATTTTATAGGAACTGGAATCGTATAATATACTATGAAACTTAGTCTTATCTATAATGGAAATTATAATAGAATGTTTTCTGTGTGGGCATTTATATTTGTGGGGGTGTTGACGGCCGACAGAGAGCTCTGGCGTGGGCTGGTCCATGAGGTCACGAAGAGTCGGAGATGACTGAACGAATGAACAACAACAACAACAATAACATGTACATATGCAACAAAATAATTCTAAAGCAACATCCATGGGTTAAATCTAGTAATAGAGGCAGTATCATTTTTGAAGAGGCCAAACTATGATTGATTTCATGCTAAATCTAATTAATTCAATATACAACACAGATAAAGAGGGATAATGCTCCCCACTTGCCAGGAAATGCAGAATACATTACACCTGCCTAATAATAATGTTGATTTCCTTCCTTTGGGTAAATAAAAAGCTACCCTACCATACCTTTTGCAGTTTTGCTGTTGATAGACTTTCATCATAAAACAGAATTTGTAACAAATAAGATTATTTAAGAGATATGTTTCATTTAGTAAAAACAAATAATCTCTCATTTACTAATTTTATTATAGTCCTATGACATGTTGTCAAATAAACATAGAAAGAAACTTCACATGTAAAGACACTATTATCCAAAGGGAGAACACATTTAAACATAGCTTTTATTCAACACACATGTTTTTTAATCTTACGTTTTTAAAACTGAAATTAATATATATTATATATTTTCATCTATTGCATTTATTCTGAAACTAAAGAAAATTAAAGTGGAAAAACATAATTCAAGCTTTTAAATACACATGTTGCACATTTCCTCTAAGAGCCTTGTCTTTGGCACAGTACAAGTATATCCTTTCCTCATCTAACACCTTGAAAAAAGAAGAAGAAATCTTTCATATAATAAAGAGTTATTCATATACTTCACAATGAGAAAAGTTCAACAGAGAATTAAATGAAATGAAGAGATCTGAAATGAATATGACACTATCTAATCTAGTGGACATGAAACTATCTGATGTTTCTCAACAGTTGAATCCCAGATAGCTAAATCACTTTTTCCATCCTTCACTGAAAAATGAAGAGTCGTAATCAATACACCCACAGATTTGAATGTTTCTAGTAACGATGGAGGTTTGCTATGGAAAAATTAATTAAGCTAAATCAGGAACATATGTAGGGATAAAAGTAAAAAACTAATGTAAAACTGCATACGTTTTCTTGAAACACTGTCTGAAAACCCCAAGACCAGAGACAGTAATGTGGCTGCAACACATTTTGCACCATGGATATACAAAATCAGTTGCATATGGAGTTGCAGATAATTCGTTAAGTTTTAATTTTATTTACTGTTGACAGCATTTCAAGGCTGTTTCAAAGAAACTGACTGTTCTATTCACCATCACATGCACACTGTCCATTTATAAAATCAAAGTTCAATCATATGTGATATAATATGTGATATCTCCCCTTCAGAAAATATAAACTGTAAACCAGGGTTCCTCAAGCAGGGTTCCTGGGAACCGGAGTGTTGACTATAATTGGGGGAGAGTGGAGGGAGGAAAAACGCAGGTATTCTGTTTGAGGTTACATCTTTGTAAATAGCCACACATGCACAAAACTGAAATGAATAGTTTCACAAGGCTCATACTCACATAAGGGCTATCATGTAATTACAATATACAGGCATCCATTGCACAGTGATAGCCTGTGAAGTGACTGATGCATTATGATTTCATACACAAATGTGCCTTGCAGTGCTTTACAGTGCACATTCAGACACCGGCTAAGATCTGGAAGTGCTAAAGCAAAATGGAAGTACTTGTTGTGCATCAAAAGTGCCAAATGTTCATTGAAGAACTCTTGCTAGTGCCCGGATATACATTTTCACATTTTTATTATTAGAATTTGATTCCACTTTGCAACAGTGATATGGATTCATAAAATGGTGTAAAGTAAACTATCCTGTAAACTTCAGGCAAATATTGTTTTTAGCTATAGATACAGTAATTCTATGCAGGGATTACCTGAGACTAGGACATTATTTCATTATTTCAAGAATTCCTCTTGGGTAAATAGGCTGTGAAAGCCTACTCTAAACTAATGTTAATAATGGGAATAGCATTTTCAGACTGAAAGAAAATGCCTGCTAGATTGCTGTAAAGGAGTGCAAATTATATTTATTGTAGCAGAGCTGCCAGATTAGGTACTTTACAACATTGTAGGAACATCATAAAGGATGGGAAATATTAATGTTTAACTAGACACTGTTCAGATGGTACGCCACAGAGAAACAGGACTACTTAACATGTTACACCTGCACATACTACTTCAAACGATCAAAGTGCATATTTAAATTAACTGACCCAACTATGACTCACACAACACTGAATTTTCTAGTGTAAAATCATACCAAAATCTTGTTAGATTGTCATTTACATCACAAGCAAGCAAATGTCTGGAGAAGTCATTGCAGGTATCTTGTACTGCCAAGACATGTGGTGCAAGAGTGAAAGGTATATCGCTGAGAAGTTCCAATGTAGAAGAACTGCCTTCCACATTCTGAATTCTTTCTGTGTCCACCTCGGTGTCTGTCAACTTTGACTGAGCGCCTGAATTTGTCTGAGGAAACAAAGAAGTAAAAAAATAAATTTTGAATTTGATTTTTCGTACAATGTAGCACAAAATTATTAATACATACCATGTTAATACAATCAGTCCTCCACATTTGGAATTGGAATTTCTAATTCTTCCAGCATTACTCTATGGTCAACTTTTGCTGGAAGCTGATCAAAGATCTAGAGATTCCTACAGAGGTGTTTTCTTTAGAAATCTCTAGGTCCTCCAGCATGATTGAAGGAAGTTGACCACAGAGTCACATGATGGATGAAAAGATTCCTAGAAAGAACATTTTAAATAAAATCTTTGAATAATCAAATTTGTCAAACTCAGAATGGTAACTGTTGAGGGACAATCCTATTTCATGTCAAGCTAAGCTATAGTAGCAATACAGCCAGCCATTCACATTTGCAGGTTTCACTTTCATGTATTTAATTAAGTGCATATTATTTGCACTGCTTCTGGTGCTGTCCTATGCCATTTTAATAGGGACTGCAAACCTCTTTGGACTGTGAATGTGCAGTGAGGCTCGCAAGTGCCTATTAAAATGGAATAGCACAACACTGGAAGTTATGAGTGGGAAGGCAGATAGAGTGGACTAGACTGTGGGACAGTGAGGTAGCTGAGGTGATGGCATGTGGGTCCTGCTCCTCCTCTTCCTCCTTCTCCCACTGTACAACATGTGTTCCTCTATTTTGTCTAGGTAATGCAGAGAACACCACAAGTTGGGGCATGTGAGACTGAAGCTGCAGTAGCTCCTGGCAGCAGACACAGTTCCCTCTGAAGGAACAGCAGAAGCACCAGTAGAATGCCTGTGGGATGAGGAGGAGGGGAGGGCAAAGCCCTGCCCCTCTGCTCCTCCTCCTTCATGGAAATGCCTCCTCGAACACAAGAGGAAGGAAAAAGAGATGTGGTGGCAGACAGCGAGGCATGGCTCAGGGACCAGGGCATAGTACTGGCAGTAGCTAAACACAGGTGTCGCTCTTGAAAAAGAGATTCTGGAGGAGAAGTATGGGCCTCCACAGTCCAGTTACAAGGTGGGTGAGGAAAAGCAGGCTATCAGTCCCCTTTCCTCAATACCATTGTCAAGAAAGTAAAAGGGAACTGACTGTTTGAGTAAAAGCGCTCTCCCATGTGGGGATGAGTACAACCAATGGCAAGTTCTGGACCCAGAGAGCCAGCAAGCAGGTTAAATATGGTAGGGTAGTTAAGATATATATGGTTTTCCTACTTTCACATGGATCCAACACCCCTTACTCCCACAAAGTTGATTCAAATCCAAAATTAGAACTTCATTTATTTATTTATTTATTTAGAACTTTTATATACCGGTCTTCTCACCTCCGCAGAGGGACTCAAGCCAGTTCACAACAACAGTATCACAGACAATCGTTTAAAACATCACATCCCATAATACACTAAAACATTAAAATACTAAAATACAATCATATAATTACATAGGCCAAGTCATCAAAATGAAATTGTAGTTCATCACCAACTTTCTAGGATAAACCCAATTAAATGAATGGGACTTGTTAGTCTCAACTAATTGAAGTTCCATTAAGTCCAATGGATCTGTACTAAATAAAACTAATGTTGAGCTTAACTCAATAGGTTTTTTTGAGTAACAACCTGAGTACCTTTTCTGAATACTGAACACATCTACATCTGTATAGCCATTAAATAAATAGCTTTTTATTTTTAAAAACCCTCATTTACACAAAGTTAACATTTTAAGCAGTCAGTGATATTAAAAGATATGAGTTTTTTATAGGTCCCAGTATTAATTTAAATGACTCCCTCCTCTGTCATCTAATCTTAAATAAGCTTACAAGAGTCTTTCCTCACAAGCAATTCACTATGCTATGAGTGTGCATTAGTTTGCATTTACAATACTCAGCTTGCATTGGGAATGTTCTTCTATCACAGAGAATACTGTCTTTTTCAGGTTAAGAAAAACAACATTATTTCTGAAGATAGAAAATCTGATGCTTTGCCCCAGATAATGCATCCCATACAGGGTTGTCCTTATTAAACATAGTGAGGCAGTCTGGATAATATCAAGCATACACCATCTCTTTGTCTTGTAAAAGAAAATGTACTAAGTCATACTGCTCTTGTTTAACTGAATAACGGCTAATCAAAATCCCATAGTCCTGTTTGTTTACTAATTTAAACTCTTGGGAACACTCTATCTTAGATGTGGCATAAATATAAGACTCCAAAAATGATCCATATTAACAAAGAATGTCAAAAAATGTTCTAAGTATCTGCGCTTTAAGCTAGAATAAACAGATAACTTTGTATCTTTCTAGTCCCCTGTGAATCTGTCTTTCATATAACTGAAATGACTTCAGTAAATCTAAAGAAATGCCACAATGACAATAATGGAGTTACACTTCATGCAGTGGCACTGCAAGGACTAATGAATGATTTACAGAAATGCTATTCTGAATCTTCACCAAACAAAAGAGGTTAAGCTTCTGTTTCTAAACTATAGCCACCCTAATTAACATCATTGGCAATGCATTGTCTCACTGAGTGATGCTTTTCAGTACAGTGTGATTCTTTTACTTGAAATGCCAGGAGAGATCTTCTGATGGGGAAGATGTTCTCTCCACTTAAATGCTGGGGGCTATATATATGTATTAATCTGAACAAGGTTGAACATGCCTTCCTTGAAACCAGCATATGTATTTATTGTAGTCAACATTTCATAAGTCATGATTGTTTTTAAAAAGAGAAAGCAGAACTCACTGTTACAAGCAAAACAGATACACCACTATCTTTGCGAAAATGTGTACATAAAGACATAACCAGATATAATTAAATATCAAATCTACATTACTACACATTCAAATCTGATTCTTTCCACAATTCAGCCTTACATTAAATAGGTGAATTTTCTTTTCTGAAAGCTGCCCTGGCCTCATGGAAATATAAATTCCTTTCAAGACCTCCCTTCGTCTCATTGGGTGCAATTAATACTAAAAGCAAGACTCCAGTGGTCTTCAATCCTTCACCTAATTACGAGCAGCTTTTGTGACTTACTGTCAGTAAGGTTTAGATAAATATTTGTTCATGTACCATATATATGTATGCATGAGAATAAATTTAGTGTAAAATTTATTCTCTTATCAAGCTAATCCTGATATTGCCATTAAGACAGTATTGTATCCAGCCTATTACTAACAATATTGCACTTTCTCTCCCGTCTCTAATTTTCTTCTTTCTATGTGACCTTTTTGCTGATTTTTTAAAAGTATCATATTCTGGCAGCAACACTTGACTCCTTTTAAATGTTGTGCCCTACTTTTTTTCTTCCTTTGCATCCTTACATTTCTTTGCTGCAATTCAAGGAAATGGTGTAGCTATAACACAACACAATCACATTCATTTCCTTCTTCCCTAGCATGATTTCAGTTCGTAAAAATAGTTGAAAGCAAAGTTGAATGGAAAGTAAGTGAGGGAAAGAGAGAACAACCATAACTACTGGTTCACCCCTATGGCTTTTAAAACATCAGATGTCTCTCATTAACTTTTTCCATTTCATCCTGTTCAGACCTTAAATATGCTGGAAGACAAACACTATTTTTCTATATTCCTTAAGCAGTATACCATGAGCTGAAGTGTCCTTCACAAATTATTAGTAATAATATGCCCTTTCCATATAATCTTTTTTCTTCAGGAGAATGACTTGAAGAAATGCCACAAAAGAACATTATGATGTAGGAAAGTTATTCTTTGAGCTATGGAACTGAATTTTCAGATAGTGCTACAGCCTCATTTTACAGAAATAGAAACAATGAAGTTAACATATTATTATATATCAAGGTTTATTCGTCTTTTTTGCATTCAGGTTATATAATTATATTTAAGTCCTATCAACAGGCATGAACTATACTTCAACATGCTCTAAAATACAGAACAAGACTGTTAAGTTATGCAAAAGTTACAATTATAGGAAAATGTTAGCACATAGTTGGCACAAAACTCCACAGAAATCAATGAACTTCTAACGAAATGGCTGGGACAGAAAGATGTGCTTTATGAGTTGTGAGCCCAGAAGTGTTTGGGCATGTTTCTTGAAAAAGCACTCTTCCTCCTCCCTCCAGTTATGAGTACTGGAGAATAAGTTACAAAATCAGTCTATGATAATAGCACAGAGGTAGCAAAGTTATTCTTTTTGATCCAAAATTAATCTGAAAAAAAAATCACCTAATTAAATATATGTCTGCTGGAATTGAAGGTCAATCTGTACTGAGTTCAAAGTTCTAAAGATTTAAAAACTCCAACACATTCTTGATTAAGAGGAGACTCATGGCTTAATGGTTGATTTTTCTTTTAAGAAGAAGAAAGCTGGCTCAAAAATGGGCATTTCAGATTTCTGACAGCAAGTGCTGGGAAGACCTCTGAGTTCTTGGCACTCAAAATGTTTAGTACAGGCACAATTAACCAACTAATTTGTCCATTTTATATTATTACTGTGCCTTCTGAATATGCCTGCAAATCTCCTGGGATGAATGAAAAATACCTGTTCTGCAGTAATGATAATTCATTATGAATGAGGCCTAGACTAGATCATCTGAAATGCCAAATACCCATTCACTAGGATCTAGATCTCCAGAAAACCTATAATCTTTAAACGTGTTTAGGCGACTTGTGGACTTGTTTTGGACATTCAAATGCTCTTTTTAAAAAATTCAGTTTTCTTGGGACATGAGATCCTAGCTAAATATTTCTCATTGTTATGTCAAATTCCTGTAAATAGACAGAGGCATATAAATTAAATTAGAAACAATGGACTTAAAGCTAGTAATGATGAGGAAAAAGAAAGAGGCATCATATATATGTTTGTGTGTTGTGCACAGAAGATTTTATTGACTTAGGTTAGCATTTATTTTTCATCTACAACAATTAAATAAGCTGTATTCTACTCTTCTTTGTACAAACCATATTAGTGACAAGAGCAAGGACAGTATCTTTCAACCTCAAGACTGTCA